TTTTTTTCAAATCAAAATAGTGCAAAAGCACATGTCGAAAAAACACTTTATCGCGTTCCATTTTTCACAAAGCAAAAGAAATTGTTGTTTAGGAAAATAATTGTGTATGCTGACTGAATGTTATCGAGAAATGTCGAAATTAATCACAAACTACCTGTTTCGTTAGTAATGACTACTAGAACTGTTTGCATTGCCATCTAACATTTACGGGCGGAAACTAAGTTAAGGTCCTAATATATTATATTATATTATATTATATTATAAGTCCCGTACTCCATCAAAGATATATTTTTTAATTTTTTTTGTTATAAAATATTCATATTTTTTAGTTTTTAGTTATTACATTCATATATTATATTATATTATATTATATTCATTATATTATATTAATTCATTATATTATATTATATTATATTATATTCACATATTATATTCATATTTTTTAGTTTTTAACTTTGACTAGCCGTATGTATGTGTTAGTCACTCCTAGAATTGGCTAACAACATACCAGTCAAAAACCGAAACACAAAACTACTTCGGGCTTTGAAACACTTGGATGTTCCGCACATTGACTAATCAATTATAGAAGCGCCCGCGCTATGGGTTTTAACCATAATACATGCGTTATTCAATAAAACAATTGTTCTGTACAAACACATATTGCTTTTAAATTTTTTAAAAATTTCGCTATAAATTTTCTAAATTCAATCCAATATTATAAAAACCGATAACATATTATAAAATACTAATATAATATAAATAAAATATACATTGTAAGTACACTATTATAATTCTATGTCATTATCTACTTTGAAGTACATGAACTATACATTAAAAAAATTTGCGATTAGAATCAAAATTCGTTCAATTCCTGACAAACTTAACATATTGGTTTACCATTTCCAAACAACTTCCTAATCCAAATAATAAATTAACACCTATTATTTTACTTAGAATACTGACAAAAGATTTTGCATTTTGTAAAAGAAACCGCGAGTGCATTAAAAATCTTACCTTTAAAGAAGTCTATCATGTTGATGGCATAATGAATAGCGTATCGCCACTTGATCTTCCTGGTGCTTTTCGGAGGATCCCAAGTAAGTTTCACAGTCGTTCTCTGGGACTTGACTAATTGTGCCTCGAGCCTCGTTATCGTCGGCAGTGCGGTGTCGTTCGTTGTGGCTGTCACCATGGCGACCTTCCCCATATATTGTTTTTTCATCGCACCGACTTCGAAAGTGTAGTTCGTGCCCGGTGCCAAATTCTGAATTTCTGCTTCGTTGCTTGTAACTGAGGTAGTCTGCAAGATCGGAAACGACGCAGGCCCTCGGGGTGTGATGTGATAGCTATCCACGTCCTTCATCTTCTTCCACCTCAGGCTGACCGAATGATTAGTCGTCTTGTACACTACCAAATCCTTGATATCGTCGATATTTGCCGAACCGTCGAATGTAAACGTGACAACCTGCGACGAAGGCGACTGGTACTGTCGGTTTCTCGCCACGATCCAGAAGGAGTAATTCTTGTCCGCTTCGAACGCCATGTCAATGATCGCCGAGGTCTTCTGCCGGGTAAATTCCATCGGCGGTATAGGCGGTGTAATGTAGCCGTCGTAACCGATGATGATACCATTTGGATGCGAAGGCGATCGCCAAGAGACTTCCACCCGAGTACCATTCTTCTGGGTGACAATCACGTTTTCCGGCTCGGAGGGCGTACCCTCGCCGGTCATCACCGTCAGATACTTGGCTGGTGGGAACACGGTGTTATGGCCCTTCAGTTTCACATACACCGTCAGATTATACCGTGTGAATGGGTCGAGATAGTTGAATTGATAGTCGGTGTCCTCAATCCACGAAGTGGCGTTGGTCCAATTAGCACCGGGTACCGCCTTCGCGATGGATGGCAGGAACTCGAAAGTAACGTTGGATGGTATTGGCATCCACCAGAAGAGGAAGAAGCTGGTGTCGTTGATGGAACGCTCGTCCACACCCATTACTAATACTTGATAGATGCGCGAGTTGTTCTTCTCGCAGTTGCTCTCATCGAATCCATCGAAGCAGTCCTGATTGCCGTCGCAGTAGGCCGCTAATGGGAAGCAACGTGTCTCGTCGCACGGGAACAGACCGACCAAGCAAGAAGGCCCGGCGGCAGGACTGGAGTCGTGATCTGTAAGGCAGCCGAGTTCATCGCTGCCGTCTGGACACTCCTCGATGCCGTTGCAAATATTCGTTAGCGGCACGCACGAGCCGTCCCGCCGGCACATGAACTGATCATTCTGGCACGACATGTGCAGCTGGTCGCAACGCATTTCGTCTTCGCCGGAAGGGCAATCGTTGGAGCCGTCGCACACCCACGAATTCTCGATGCACTCACCGTTGTAGCACTGGAACTGGTGTTCGCGACAACTTCTTGGTAGCTCCGTGGAAAGCGGCGGCATGGGATCCAGTGACATGTCCACATTGCTGCAACCTATCTCGTCGGAATCGTCCCCGCAGTCGTCCACGCTGTCACATTTCCACCAATAAGGGACGCACTTTTTGTTGTTGCACATGAACATCCAGTCGTTGCAAGAGTTAGTGGGCATTATCGGCACGAATGGCGTCGGTACGGTACTAGTGATAGTGCAGTTGAGCTCGTCAGAACCGTCAAAACAATCCTTGTCGCCGTCGCATGCCCACGACTTGTAGATGCACCGATGCGTCTCCTTGCTCGAGTTGCATGTGAACTGCCACGGCTCGCACACCATGTTATTGCACTCAGACTCGTCGAAGCCATCCTCGCAATCTGGTTCGCCGTCACATTTCCAAGCGGTGGGTATGCACGAATGGTCCTTCTTGCAGACGATCTCATCTGATCTACATGTACTCGGCAATACATTCCTCGTACAATTACTCTCGTCCGAGCCGTCCTTACAGTCGTTCTCGCCGTCGCAACGCCAACGGTGTGAGATACATCGGCCGTTGTCACACTTGAACTGTGTGTCCGTGCAGTTGGAGTACGTGCAATTCTTCTCGTCCGCGCCGTCTTTGCAATCGCTATCGAGATCGCACACCCAGTACCTAGGTATGCATTTGCCGTCGCATTCGAAGTTATTAGGGCTGCATGTGGCCTTGTTACATTGCAACTCGTCGGAATTGTCGCCGCAATCGTTGTCGCCGTCGCACTTCCAGAATTCAGGTATGCAGACGTCATTGTTGCACGCAAACTGGTTGGACGAGCAAGTGCTGGCGATTCGTGGACACGTGGAGTTGGCATACGGCTTGTTGCCACCTGGGCACATGCACTTACTCTCTTGCATCACCATGCCGTCCGGGCAGAGGCACACGTGGCCGCTATGCGGTGCACCCAGACAGATGTGCGAGCAAGTATTGTTCGCGCACGCATTCGTGCCAACCTGGACGCTGTGTGCAAAGATCTTCAGATCCATCAAGCCCGCCAGCTGACCAATTATTGTCGTTATTCCCACACCATGATCCTTGTTGGCAACGAATATCATCGACTGCTTCCAGTCGTCCCAGTACATGTTGTCCTTGAAGACGGCGACCGCGAACGGATGTGATACGCGCTCGTCGTTGGCGATGATCTTCTTGAATCGTTTGCCATCGAAGTCCGACGAACCGATATAATCTGTGCGCGCGTCCACCCAGTAAATACGCTCGGCGATATGATCAATTGTTATTCCGTTCGGCCACTCAACGGTGGGTTTGACGAACAGTCGCTTCACATCCGTGCCGTCGAGATTGGCGCGTGACACTGAAGCATTACCGGGTGCCCAATCTGTCCAAAACATGTAACCATTCATGGGATGCACCGCTATGCCTCTAGGTTTCTGCAAATTGTTCGGACCCAATATCGTTCTGCGCATTCTGCCCATGGTAGAGACGTCCGTTCGGATGATTTGTATTCTCATCTTGACACCGTCCACGAAATAGAGCACGTTGGATACCCAGTCGAAGGCCATTCCCTCGATGGAACTCAAATCGGTCTCGACGAGTATCTCGGGATAACTGGTGCCATTTCTTAGGCATTGCCTGCCAATAGTATCGTTTACGATATCCGCCCAATACAGACAATTGTTCTTCAAGTCAAATTCTATGGCAATCACGTTCTTCAGACCGTGCACAGGCAGCGTCTCCAGTTTCTCATCTATCAAGTTGATGCGCGATATGTGCTCTCGTTGAGCGACTAACAGGAACTCGCGTTGCTCGTTCATCGGGCAAGGTATTTCGTCGGGCTCAAAGTTCCTCGCGAGACCGCCCTTGCAATCGTCGTCGGATATCTTCACGTAGCCTTTTGTGCGATTGTAGAACTCACCAGATTTGCATGTGCTCGGCACGGCATAGGGATCGTAATTAGGGATCGATTTGTTGCGGATGCATTGAGTATTATTGTTGCCATCGCGCATGAAGCCATAATCGCACTGATAGTCTTTCGCATCGCACAGACACACCTCCGGTCTCATTGGCCGAGTGTAATTCACGCCTGTGTAGCAGTTTGCGCGCAGTGCACGTCTTTGATACGTCTCTTTGAGTCCTAACACGCACGACATTACCGGATGATCCTCACTCGACGGCGACCAAAACTTGTAATCGTCCTCTGTGCAGTCTCTCTCGAACACATTTCGTAGATCGACCTTGATTATCAGCCATTGATGTTGTCCGCTGTCCGAGCCGAACATAGTAAATACTGTAGTGTTCTCGCCAGGCTCCGTCATGAGACCGTAAACGCGTAACATCTTCTCATTGAACTCGTATGTTTGCCAGTTCTCGCCCTCATCGATCGAGTACGAGATATCTCTAGTCTCGCCGCGCGATTTGAAATATTTGACTGCTACTAACAGACCACCATGGTCGCCCATATTGAAGAAATAATAATCCTTTAGCACCTGTTTCCACGTGAGACCCGCGTCTCGCGACACATAGAGCGCAGGGTGTCCCTTTAAGTTGGGTCCAATCACGCCGGTAGCCATTATTATTCCGGGCGCCGACTTCGAACTCATGATCGTAACGGATCTCGTTACCGGATAGAGCTGACTAAATCTTTGGCTCAGGTGTAACGAGCAATTTTTGGGGCAATGCCGGTTAATGTAGAAGCCTTCGTGATTCGCCCTTGGAGCCTTAATATCATTCCAAGTCGCGCCATGGTCAAAGGTGATCAACGACGCCAAGTGCTCCGGTCCAATCGAGCCTGATTTGGGGGCGCCTGTAACTTGCGACGCTATGTATATACCGCGAAGGCCCTCGACTTTGTATAGATCCGTGAATGCTTCATCAGCTACATCACTACACAAATAAAAACATATAGATATATGATCGGAATGAAAAAATTCAAAGAAAAAGTTGTATTTGTTATCATCCATTTCTACTCACTTTAGCCAGCTGTCCTTCCAAGTACTGTTGGGGAAAAATGTGAGAATGCCGTCCAAAGACAATGTAAATATGGCTTTCTCGTGATCTATAACTTCCGACACGTAAAGATTTACCATGGTTTCACTGTGCGATACCGCGATAAAGACTCGATTTGAAGACACGTCGACAATATGATAATCTTTGCAGTCTAATTCCGTGTTGAAATGTGCCATAACAAACGACTGATTTTTGTAGGAGATATAAAGATCCAGATGTTCCGACGTTCCGTTCTGTTGAACAGGAAAACAATAGTTGACAAAGAATAATCAGATCCTACAAAAAGATCGCATATGGGAAACTTCATGCAACGCTTTAATACTTTAAGTGTTAACTTGCCTTCGAATTTTTCATGGTGGCAAACATATAATCGCCTCTTATCTGGAAGTCCTCGACATTCTGGATAACCGGAACAAATTCTTTCCGTACCGCTATCCTCATTCGCTGTACATTAGCATTTCGCAGAGATGCAAGGAAACTCTTCATATCCAACTTCAAGACGGTGTTCGACCTGCTAGGTTCTGTACGCTCCACATATAAAACTTGATAGGGCGACCAGAAGAAAGCCTTCACGAATTGATGGATCTGCGTCCAAATTATTCCACGATCCACCGACAACCATAACTGAAATCAAAATATTTCCACATGCGACGAACAATAGATTTTATGAACCTATAAAATTTAATAGCAATAAAGCCAAAGCACACACAATTATTTAATCTCATACCTTTCGTGTTGTGTCAATTTTGTCCAATGCGACGAGCACACGTGGATCTGAGTCAAAATATGAAATTTCACTTGGGTGGAACGGTACCGGAGATCTCATGATCGTCATCCCGTTATTCATCGTAATAAATATCAGGCTATTCAAGCTGTCCACGAAAACACACTATAAAGAAATAGGAAATCTCAGAACTGCCTCTTTCGATAGAAAAAATGACAAGAAAACAGAAAAAGAAGAAAAAACATATATTTCTTTAATATTTTGTAAAATATATTTTACGCAACATAATTACACACACACACACACAAAATAAAAATATTAAATATATAAAACAATTGCATATTTTACATAATAAAAGATTTACGTCAAATATATTTTATATAAATATATTCATACATATTTATATAAATTTATATAAATATATTTTGTATAAAATAAGCGTAACTTACGTGTTGAAAAAATTTAGGGTGATTGGTGAACTTATCCACAACCGCATACGGAGAATTGGGATCGGATGAAATCCTGAACTCCTCAGTCTTATTCACAAACGTATCACCATAGTCGTAGCTTATATATACAGCGCTGGGGTGGGTCGGGGAAGAGAATCTTCCTGCTTGAAAGCGCACCACGGGTGTACTATCCCTTGCCAGACATATTATTACGTTGGAGCCTTCCCCGACCCAATGCACCATCAATTGCTGATGTGAATCATTTAAAGCGTTGACCTGTAACGATACAAAAGAAGATGGGTTGATGCTTACGAAAGCCGCGTTAAAAAGACGATATATAAACTCGTGCAATTTCACATATATTCTTTCCTTTGTACACGGAGAAAAAACCTCAATTCGTGTAACTGAATAGAAACTGAACCAAAACTCGGCAACAACAAACAATATCTGTTATCTTGTGAACGAAAACATTTGTCTGAATAATAAGTTGCTTTAAAACTGTGATTATTGAGAAAAATTAATTAAATGGAAAGCTTCTATAGAAACATTTTTTGTTCTTACAATAATTCTCGTTTTATCTCCAGATAACAGAATATCAGTTATATCAGATATCAGTTATATGAACAGAACTTGTTTTTCTGTATACAATAAATTCACGTAAGATCATGATTGATGTACTCGTAAAAAGTCACGTTAAAAAGACTGTGTGCATTCTTTTTTCCATGTAATAAATTTACATAAACCTGTGATTACGTACTATTGGATATTACCATATTAGCAAGATTACGAGAAAAATTATTCGCGCATTTAAACGCAAGAAATTTTAACCACAAGATTGAAGGTAAGACAAATAGCGAATAATGTTATTAAGAAATCCAAAAAATTCTAATAATAAGTGCGCAAAATGCTCGTCTGAAGAACATTTCCTAATGGGAAAACCCATGCAACATGTCGTTACAAGTACAGATTTATTTAGCGGAGGAAGGGCATATACGCAGATAGACGGATATAAGAGGTATGTGTGTGTCACTCGACATCTCCATTAAAAGTAATTTTAGCTGAAAGCGTATGCAATAGGAGATGAGTCATTGAATATGCATGATTCAAAGAAGACTGCGATCGTGCTAGGTCGTTTGTGTCACTATAGAGCGTTGTATTACTCCGGTTTCATATCGTTTAATATAAAAATGACGAAACTATCACCTCAGACAACAATAAAACGCTCCACGAGCACTTTGAGATATTGTTATATATATCAGGAGAACAAATCGAACGTGTATTCATCGGAGATCGTAATCGTCTTTAATATTGAACGGAGGAAAGTTTCAGCTGCTGGAGGAATCCGAGTTAAAGGTCAATCATTCGTCCCAAAAGTGAAAGTGAGTCGTCTGGTTTTTTGTCGTGCAATTATGCAAGAACGCCCAAAATAATGCCGGATTTTTCTGCGTTCAAGTGACTCTGAGCGAAAATATCTGGACGGATAACTTTTAGATGTAAAATGAACAGGCATAAAGAGGTTTAATAATAAGTAACATTTATTATATTGAAATGTATTGCAAAAAAGATATACACGATGACAATCCTTGTTGAAAGAAAAATTCTGAAGAGAACAAACACAAAGGAAAGCTAACTAAAGCAGTCAATGCCGTCATACGTTGCAATTGACTCCTTATCTGGTCGACCAAATGACAAATTTCCTCGTCAATGTAAATATAGACGGTCAAGTGTATCCGCATATGTATTATGCTGACATACACACATACTAGTTCGTCGGAACATATGACTAAGCGTCACGTGACTTAATGACACGCAGTAAAATATCTGCAATTTTGCGCGTAAATATTATCTGCGAAATTCGCGCGGCCTTCGACCATGAGTCGCGTTGGCGACAAGGAAAAACACATGACGTCGTTGCCAAAATAATAGAGCCGTTCGTTTTAGTCGCACTTTTTGCGTTTTAGGAACAACGGGAACAGATCTGCAGCCAAAAGTTCGAGAGCTATGTGAACCTGGCACCCGACTTTTGAAAAAATAAATTTTTTCTACGTAAAAAGTTAGCATTTTGTTTGTAATTGTTTGTAGTAACAATAATTTCGTTTGTAGTTCCATCCATTAAAAATTACAAAAATTTAAAAAAATGAGTAGCATTTTGAGATAACTCAAATCTGCAAGCGGGTGACGTTTCTAAATCTTTTGTAGTTGTTTGTAGTGATTTACTTAGGCGTTTTGTTAAATTGTTGTAAGTTAAACTTTTGAACGGTTCGACTATAAACGAAACCAAAATCACTACAAACAACTACAAACGATTTGGAAACGTCACCCGCTTGCAGATTTGAGTTATCTCAAAATGAGGTGCTACTCATTTTCTTAAATTTTTGTAATTTTTAATGGATGGAACTACAAACGAAATTATTGTTACTACAAACAACTACAAACGATTTGGAAACGTCACCCGCTTGCAGATTTGAGTTATCTCAAAATGAGGTGCTACTCATTTTCTTAAATTTTTGTAATTTTTAATGGATGGAACTACAAACGAAATTATTGTTACTACAAACAACTACAAACGATTTGGAAACGTCACCCGCTTGCAGATTTGAGTTATCTCAAAATGAGGTGCTACTCATTTTCTTAAATTTTTGTAATTTTTAATGGATGGAACTACAAACGAAATTATTGTTACTACAAACAACTACAAACAAAATGCTAACTTTTTACGTAGAAAAAATTTATTTTTTCAAAAGTCGGATGCCAGGTTCACATAGCTAAGTTCGAGGGAATTCTAGGCAGGTCTGCGTGGCCATGAGATAAGGAATAAAATTAGTTTTCCGATAAACACACGGAAACGCGTGCAGAAATTTATCTGAAAACTACATACAAAACTAGCGACATTGTTAATCATTGTCAGAGCGATTTCCAAGAAAGTCCACGTCGGAGCCGGAAACGCTTCGTTAAGGAGGTATCAAAATAGATTACAAATTATTAATAACGTAAGATTAAAACATGTCAAATAAGTATAAGAAAATAAGAATAAAAATAAGTATAAGAAGTATAAGCCATTTTATTTTCTTTTTTAAAAATCACGTAATTAATCGAAAACATCGATAATCGAATACCGAGTTACATTACGAACTAGTTATACAAACTATACACTATAAAAAATCTTGCGTATATAGTATATAAACAAATGTTCCAAAAAGTCCATTCTAAATTTTGTGTCGAAAATAACTCATTTATATGTTCATTCGTGTGTTATTTATATTATGTATTAGTCTATACATAATGTAAATAACACACGAATAAACATATGAATGAGTTATTTTCGACACAAAATTTAGAATGGATTTTTTGGAACATTTATTTATATACTATATACGCAAGATTTTTTTATAGTGTATAGTTTGTATAACTAGTTTATAATGTAACTCGGTATTCGATTATCGATGTTTTCAATTAATTACATGATTTTTAAAAAAGAAAATAAAATGGCTATATCCATTTAGATCTCCTTTTTAGCTTTTTATTAATTTTTCATAGTTAAGTTCCAGTTGGTGGTAAATAGTTATGTAAGGTTAATCAAACAGTTTTATTTCATAAAAGAAATATAATAAAAGATGAAACAGTTGCGTGTGGTTCACAATATTGCTACACGGAAAAAAAGAATTAACTGCACGAGCAAGAATTTGTGGTAGCTATATTTCGTAGCATATGGATACCTAAAAGTATAGCTCCCCTACTGCGTCGATTTCATAGCTAAATATAGCATGTAGTAGCAACAATAACAAGTTTTAGTTATAGTAGCAAATTTTTAGTTACGGCAACGACTACATTTCCAGCAAGTCATGATTAACCGCGGCAGTGAAATCGTTGTTTTTTTCGTGCACTAGTTTGCGCTACTTTAGCTATCCATATATTTCGGCCACTTATAAATACATGTTTTTACTTGTTAATTCATGCAAAAAAATAAATTTAATAATTGTTAATCAAGCGATTTAAAATATTTTATCGCAAACTATTATTTAAAAAAAAATTATGAAGATAAAGATTACTGAAAATCATATATATTCTTTTTATTGATATTTATTGATATTGAACGTTGACTTAAAACTTGTTCCATTGGCCAGTTACAGGCAGATGATATGTTACTCCGCTCGATTCGGCGACAAGATATTCGAGTCAGAGTGTCATATTTACACTTCTTGCAAAACGCTACATAGACTTTTGCTTTGTTAAAAGAAGGAATGTCGCGATGCTTTGTGTAGGAGCTCCGTACATGTTGTATCTATCAAAATATCTTTTTTCGTTAAAGCTCATGGCTCCTCACATTGTATATTTTTTTTTAATGACGTCAGAAGCGAGGAAATGTACTAAAAATTCTTGCAAAATACATTAAAATAAAAATAAAAATGTATCTATAAAGTAACATTTGCAATCGATTAAACAAATCTATAAGATATTCCTCCCCTTTTTCTCTAACAATCAATAATTTGATATACGTGACATACAATTCATCTTCTTAATCTATTTCTTCGTCTATTTCTATTCAGATTAATTTGCGATAAATTATTGATTGTTAGAGCAAAAGGGAAGAAATATCTTACAAATTTGTTTAATCGATTGCAAGTGTTACTTTATGGATATATATTTTTATTTTAATGTATTTTGCAAGAATTTTTAGCATGCATTTTCTCACTTCTGACGTCATTAAAAAGAGATAGACAATGCGAGAGGCCAGGATCCTTAAGTGAGTCTTGGTATTCGTATGAAAAGTTCTAATCCGAGATATCTGATTCGATATCAGATCGAGAATTCTCCTTGAAAGAAATCTGATTTAAAACCATAATTGAATTTAAGTTTGATTCTATTGAAATATCTAAATCCTTTGAACTTGGCTAAGTCTTGCAATGAAAGCAATAGCTGAGTTAAACACCTTACGTTCGGAGATATTAAATATATTTTTGGCAAAATGTCAAAATAGTCTTCGGGATCTTAGAAATCATTTCGATCATTTCTAAATGACAGACGGTAAATGCCAGTTCGTTGACTTTATCACTTTCAGATGTATTAGTATGACTAAAGCTCGGTTGCACCAACATTATTTTGATTTTAAACGAGACTTAAATATACGTCTGTCTTTATTCATTTAGAAAGAAAGATAAAGATAGATATATGTTTAAGTTTCGTTTAAAGCTAAAATAATGTTGGTGCAACCAGGCTTAAGAATCCATAGTGAAAATCATTGATTGTTTATTTTAAATTATCACTGTTATCGATAATGTAATTTATCGATAGTTTCCCATCTTTAGTTGCTCAGCACTTCTCAAATATCCTATAGAGACTATCGAAAGATTACGAGAAAAGTAAAAAAGACAAAGATAAAAAAACGTAAACAATAAGACTTAAACAGTGATCAAATTAGTCAATCATATTCAAGAATCACAGAGAATGTGAAATTATCATGTTGAAATTCTCAAATGCGATTAATTCATTTATTGCTTCTTCGTTCTTGATGTTTAAGATAAAAGTACCAATTCCCAAACATATACCTAACGCTGAACATTTTTATCATTTTGATATTAAAATGCATATGTTTAAACTTTCGACATAGAATATATGTATATTTATTTTTTTATGTTAAAAGTTTAAATATTTGTATTTAAAGATCAAAACAAGGAAAATATCCAGGATTAAGTATGCGTTCGGATAGTATTTTTACCTTACATTTTTTTGCTTATTATGGTCCTAAAACCTGATCTACAATGTACTCTTTGCTTCCTGTGTTCTTGTTCTCTTTTTCTGGCTTACGGTCCGAAATGAAAAGAAAGAAAGCAAATACATTGTAGATCTGGGCTGATAAAGTGGAGAGACAAAGCATGCACACGTGTACGCGTGCACGCGCGCGTCTTTCTGTGCCGTGATGCAATGTATTGTTTACCATGACACCCTGCGAGCTGTCGCCGCTCTTAAAAAGAGATCGCGGAAATGTTAAAAAGGGGCAGAAGATAAAGGGCGGTTACTGACCTCAGCGTGTCAATAACAGAGAGCGGCCCGCGACGCACCGCCGTCGTTTCGCCGAGATTGATTAAATTTACTCCGGAAGGGACATAATACGGGCAATTATGCCCCAGCGCGTTCATACGCCGCGCGACGCACAAAGGCCGCGGCTGTGTGCCGCCGCGCGCGCTCCTCCATCGCGGCGGTCCATCGTGTGTGCCATCGGGAAAAATTCCGCAACGACGCGATATAACCGAGCGGAGGGTGCGTGTATGTGTATGTGTGTGGCGCGCATGTAACACACATACATATGTTGCGTGTATGCCACCATGTGTGTACCATGCGTGTACCATGTACGTGCGTCGCGCGCGCGCGCGCGCGCGCGCGTCATGCTTTCTGCGCGTAAGCCGCGCGATGATCTTTTTATGATGATACCTTCCCATTATCAGTTGAAAAAGAATCTGAGCAACGACAGAGAAATAAATAGTGTAATCGTCTGGCAGCAATTATCGCACAGCCGCGACCTTCGTGTCGTTACGTCGCGAGCATTGACACAGGTACGCGTGACGACGCAACGCGATGCGCCGCGCCGCGTCGCGACGCGACGTGCCGCGTCATGACGCATATTTTTCACACATATGTACCTTCGTCGTAATGTTTGGGTTATTGTTTGGATGATCCGTCGGCACGTCCCTGCGCGTACGCCCGTACGTTTCCCCGTCATCGTGATCGTACGAGTCTGCCGCCCGCCTCTCGATGATGAGCGGCTTCCTGTACGGCGAATCAATGTCCTCCGCGAGATGCAGCTGCCTCGCCTTGTCACCGTATCGCACGCCGTAATTGCACTCGGTCAGCAGGATCAGATTGAGGATCAGCGCGATGTAGTAGACGGCCGAACTCCACCGGCCGGCCATCTTGCTCAGACTAACTTCTTTATTCAATGAGCGAGTGTATTATACGTGGGCTATGGTCGTGCGACTCATAGTCGTGCGTCATTGAATGAACAAACGAGTACGACTAACGATTAATGTATGTGTGGAACTGCAGATGGCGGTGCATGTGGATTGTAAAAAAAAAAGTAAAATCTCGAAAAACTGGGACAATTGACCGAGAAGTGGTATTGTCGAATCCGAGATAATTTATCGGAATACAATTGAAATCCCGAAACATTGGAAGCATATAATTTTTCCGAAAAATCATTCTACCGGAATATACATGACTTTCCGGGAAATTTGTATGCTTCCAACATTTCGGTAAATTGTCTCAATATCATGACTTTTCGATAAATTTTCCATTCTTCAACTATCGATACACTTGTTTCCGGGACAATGCACGTTCATCCAGGTGGCGCTCTGTAGGCCCGTTTGAAAAATGGCACGAATTGATCGCGTTCTGAATTGCATCGCTATTAATATGGAAAACCACTGGTCTTACAGGATTTAACGTAACAGGAAATTTCGCTATTTAATAACCTTCTGTCGGTAAATTTATGTAAAACCAGTTTTAAATTTGTGTAAAATTATTAGAAGTGATAATTGAAGAAGTATAATCCAATAAGTGCAGAAAGGCAATTTCACAAAAATATCTAATATACTTCATTATAGGTCTGTATATGTGGCGACAAAAAATCAAAAAAGTTGTAAATTATAAAATTAATAGTTTGTTACATACTGAATGTCTAGATGTTTATATATAGAATGACTGAAAATGGTCAATAAGGTCGTCTCTCTTCAATTACCTTCGGATCCTTTCACTATTACGAAAATTTACCCAGAATTGAAGGTTTTCAAACATAGAAATAAACTAGACATAGAAGTAAACTACGCATTATAACGAGATTTAAAACAACTACAGAACTATAAAGACAAAAATATGTTAAATAAAATGTTTTCTCTGTTATATAATATTATAGAAAGGAGCGATGTAGGAGAAATAAAAGACAAAGAGAAACAGTGAAAGAAAGAAAGAACCATAGACATATAGAATAAACTGCACATATTCTAGGAGAAATGAAGTCAATATTAATAAGAGAAGGCAATAAAGAGTAAGATGCTTTTCTTATCTAATTGTGTAAATGAAGAACGAAAGAGAAGGAGCGATCACATAATCAATGTGTTTTCTCTTTCTTTTACTATATTTTTCACTCTCTCTTTTATTTCTCCTACATCACCCTTTTCTGGAATACTGTATCACAGAGAAAGTGACTTAACACTTCGGACTTAGTGTTCGGAATTACTTTCACTTTCGATTTTCGAGGGCTCTTCCTACTTACTTTCCCTCACTGCTCGCCAGGCGACTAACGGTCACAGCAGTCAACCTTAGGACCGTTGATGTCATAACATCTGTGTGGATGTTTACTAATCCCACATAGCACAAAAGTCAACGTTATTATTGTTAGAATGTTGCCAGAATATTTGCAGTAAGTTATATTTTATTGAATGTCAATGTAATGTTATATTAATGTCCGATATTATAGAGTAGCAATGTTAATATTACTAAAATATTGCGGTAACGTAGCAAAATAGTTATATTTTTGTAATAGCAATATCATATTGCAGTAATGTACCAAATATATGTATAAAAATTTAACGTAAAAGCCATATGTTGTACTATATTGATGTAACATTGCCTGCTAAGATTGTATTGATTTTGAATGCATATATAAATATAATATTTTCATATAATGAAATTTATATCATGCGCATAATTCGAGGATGCGCAGAGAAGATACATACGATAAGATCGAAGTATGCACAACAAATATATATAATAAAATAAATATATATATAATTACAACATTTGTTCATACTGACTAAATATTTATCCACATAGCACGTAATATTACATTATATCACAGTAATATTTCTGTAATATTGTAATATCGCAAAAATATTACGGAAATATTACTGTGTATAATGTAATATTACGTGTTATGTAGGTAGTTATATTCACCAAACAATTTAGTTGAACATATTATTGAATTAAATCTTAGTTACTATGATTAACGTTTTTCAGCGTGGTATTATATGTTTAATGCATATATGTTTATATATGGAAAGTATTATATGTTTTTCATGATTTTGTTCCTCTTTCTTATGTTTTATCATAATTTTCAATAAAAATGACATATATAAAGGATATACATTTTCTTTTCCTTTCTTTTAATGTCCTTTCTTTTATCCTGACATTTTATGGTATTAAAAGTAATATTATTTCCAGCACAATGCAATATTAAATGTAATATTGACCAACCTTGTATTAATATTTGGTTGCATCATTTCTTTAATGTTCCGGAAAGTAACATTTTAAGATCAGAATAATATTCTTCTCACGTTTACAAATGTTACTCAAATATTTTCCCTAATATCATATTTAATATTGCTTTAATATTTTTGTGCTATGTGGGATAGCTGAAAATCTTATCAAAACAACTTAAACTCGATGTCAATAGTCCTGAAGCTGACTGTGGCGACCATCAGTCAGCTCGCCCACCAGGCTCGGAGCGATAAAGGAAAATGAATAGGTGTAATCTTTGAAAATCACCTCGAGAATAAAACCAATTCCGAGGACTGATTTAGTATATCTCTGTTTTTCAATCTTGTTATTAACCATTCCGTAAAAGTACGCTGTTTACCCCAGACATCCAAAAGACGTCCTAAAAACATCATAAAAACGTCCTTACGTCCTAAATACATCCAAAATAATCCTTTGGATGTACATGTGCTGTTTGGGGCGGAGAAAATGCATTGGCAATGTGATTGCTCCTCCTTCGGTCTCTCAGATAAGTAGACAGATAAGGAAAGCATCTTACTCTCTATTGTACTCTTTTACTGATATTTATTGCAACCACCTCCAATAGAAATGCACATTCTAACTTTAAGTCTTTTACCTAAACGTATAAAATAGAGTGAGCATTCCTATCGGAATGCTGAAATCAAGATCGAAAGACAGAGATATATTAACCGAGAATCTTCCTCTGTTACATACAAGAAGGTTCGTACTCTAGGAGGAGACGATATAGAGGAAACACAAGAGTGAGAATGAACATAATAAAGGAAAGAAAGAGAGAGAAATATTGTGTATTTCATTGTTGTAAAACTAATTGTTGTAAAACTAATAAAACTAATAAATCTAATTGTTATATGCTCTTAATCTTGACTGAATCTAATGTACCAATTAGATTTTATAACAGTTGCAAAATTGCAGCTTTCTCTGCTGAACGCAACTATTGTGTGAAAACTCTCACAATACAATTTCCAAAATCGAGACATAAAAAGTCTTAAAGACGTCATAAAGACGTATTATGTCCCGATTTTAGATATTCTGTTGTTTGGAAAGGCACATTAAGTGGTACACACTCGTGTGCGGGCACACATCATGGATATCGCCCAATATGATATATCCATATGATATATCATCCTTCAAAGAATATATCATATTCTCTTTGTAACCAATTCAATAATCACATGATCCCTTCACCTTTATTTCTTTCTCCCCACTAACTACTCTGTCAGACGAGGAAAGCATCTCAGTCTCTATTGTGCTCTTACTAATGCCGGTTGCAATCTTCCAACGGGAATGCTTATCCTATTCTATATTCTTCCTTCTATATTCTATATTTCTATATTCTTTCTTCTATATTCTATATTTATATATTCTTTTATCTTACTAGTCAGTATTACTTCGTTAGTAGTTCATTGTTAAAGGTGCGCGTTTAAATTTTATTTATCTTTCATGAAAACAAACGCAATCTTATCGCCTTTATCTTTACAAACGAACATCTTATCTCTCGTCAACTGTAGCAAACAAAGTTATCTTTACGGAATTTGATATCGCTAATAATTATTGTTACTTTGCTCCTCATAAAGTGCAAAGTTCGCAAAAATTTTTCGAACTTTCAATGAGATCTTTTGGAAGTTCAAGGTTATTCGGACATCTTTTTGTTTCTTCAAGTCGAACACAATGCTCCGTCGCAATGCGGTAAGTTTCGGCGAAACCGTGAAATTATCAACACACGGAGCGAATGTGACCCTGCCATGAACGATAACGAAGAAGTGAGAAGAGACGGCAGGGAGCCTCCCGATAAAGGCACGGACAGTTCGAGTTAGGGGAGCAAGCAAGTGCTTTTAATGACGACGCGCAGATGTAATAATAAAAGTATATTAGATAATGACTTTTTCATTTCCTGACGGGCTAGAGCGGAGTGTTGCCAACGCGCCTGTGCACGTCCACGTACGTCCGCATTCGTGGCGAGCAATCGATGTTAAATGCGGTTAAATCTGTGTTAATGATCACCGTCTGCCGGCGCGGAAATTGACACCGAGTGATTCTAATACGTGTATTATCGTGTTATCAGAAACGTTCCTTTATTACGTGACGCAGCAAATAAACAACACACTTTGACCCACTTTGACCACATGATTACTCGTGGCCATATATTGAACGAGTCGTGTCGCGTTGAGTCTCCTTGTACCGGCCAGGTCTCGACGTTCAGGTCTCGCGACCTGATTTTTTGTTTCTATCAAAATTGCACATGTCCCAGCACTGTTTTCTATAATCCTAATCGCGGCAGGATGACATTCGCGATCGTTCATCAACTGACATTTAACTGAAAGAAGCGTCGATTCGATGTCGTCTTGGGAATTCCATTTATACGTTTTTCCAAAACGTGCAAATATGATTGCAGTCGCAGCCAACACGGGGATTACCTGATTCGTTAAGAGAATACAGCACAAAACGGTCGTAGATACAACGGTCGGAAATGTTGAAAATTCCACACAACTGTGTCGCTTTTCAAGCGATCGTTTATTAGGAGCGCAATACACATCGGTGCAATCAGAATCATTCGCACACTAGCCTGCTTCGCGGCGCGCGTGCGTTGATAATCTGTCGGAGATGATTAATCATTGACAATCGCAAGAGAGAGTGAGG